GCGATGTCGAGGACGCCTTCAATTTTTATCATTCGTCCTTGAGAATGCACGTCGAGCAATCTTTCGGCATGCTAATTAAGAAGTTTAGGATTCTGAAGATGTTGGAATATTCAGTCAAAGACTCCGCTGAAATTGTAGCAATTGCAATGAAATTGCACAAGTTCTGTCTCGAGAACAGTGACAAGGCTCGCTTTCGGGTTCCCAGGAGTCGTGGGGAGTTGAGGGAAGAGGCTAGTATGGTAAGGGGAGGTTGGGCTACGGGTTGATGAGTCCGCTATCTGATGGCGGCGGGGCGGGTGTGTGCACGGACGGGCAGTGGAATAATGAAGACAGGGATGTGAGGTGGGACTAGTGAAAAGGTAAGCAAGGATTGGGGGGGTTGTTGGAAATATGAGATTATGAATTTTGGCGGGGGGGACTGCAATGTACAGCAAACGTGGCGCGTGACTGACATGTGTGCATGAATTTATCTGCGGTTGTCTGGAGTCTATCGTATGGAATTCTATGTCTACTATGGGTCACCCGTCGAGTCACCGCGTGTGCTGGCTTACTGTGATAATAAAGGCGTCTATAAACCGCGATGCCACATGCGTTTGCGCGGGTTGTGGCACGGTTGACATGCGACTGCGGCGGATGCTCGGCAAAAAAATGGCTGGCGACCCCCCCCCCCCCCCCCGCGCCGTACTCGCTCTACTCGTGCCATCGCAGCAATACAAAAGTTGAGTGAACGTCAAGGTCAAGATGAGAATGGCGCGACGAATGTTGGTACGTGGCGCCTCCGCCCGCTGTTGAGGCACGGCTTCAAGTGTTTTCACGGAGAAAGATGGTCCGTTTCTAACAACACAGACGTCAGTAAAGTTAACGTAACATGCACGCTCATGTTTTGGCAGGACATTTCGGCAGGATGTTTCGGCAGGAGCTTGTTGGCGGATCGAACTGTGTGCGGTACGACAGAGGGTGAATTGAGTGCCATTTTGTATGTTACTGTGCTGGTTTGAGCACAGGGGGCTGCCGGCGACTTGCTCGAAACGTTGCTGCTGCTCAGTGCAGTAACAAGATCTACTCGAGTAGTTGTGTAGAATGGTTAACTCGAGAGATGTGAAATTGGATGGGAATTGAATGAATTTGCGGTGTTTGTAGAGTAGCGCCTCACCATTCGCCTGCACGTCCTCGTACACCGATGGCAGGCCAGGTTGCGATGATTGTACGGTAACCAAGGGTACTGTATACAGTGAAGTATTTATGTATGTCTAAGAGGGCACTTTGGATGATACAGTGACATCTGAGGGGGCCCATGTCGTGCCGGATTTGACGTCACACCCTTGAATGTCTGTCACATATACCGATACTGTAAACTAGCAGCAATGTAGCAATGTGTGCTCTTGCAGGCACAGTACTGTACCCTTGGTACAGCGAGCTATCGACAAGCGGGTGGAGCAATGACGTGTCCCCCAAGTACACCAGATGGACGGCGAAAGAGTTGGTCCCAACCCTTTTCCCAGGAAAAGGGAGACCATATCTTATCCGTCCCAGGTGCAGCCGGTTTCCATTGTGTGTGTAGTACACACTGTGTACCCAAATTTTGTCTACCCAATTTGGTGTAGCAGGGCGCTACTGGCACCAGTGGCAGTAAGCATGTGAAGGTCCAAAGCATCTTCACATGCTTACTGCCGCCGGTAAATTGATGTGACAGGTCGTTCCAATGGAGGGTAAGGCAACATGATTTACACTGCTGGGAGCGTCGCAGGTTGACTTCTAGTCCAGGAAAAGTTACACTTTACACTGCTACGCTATTGTGAGGGTGAGGGAAGGCAACTTACACCTCGCGTTGATCATTCACTGCCGTCTGCTTTCTATGCACCGCGATGGAGGTACCAACGGTACTGTACCAACGGTACTGGAATGCTCCCTACAGGAATGCTCCCTGCAGGAATGCTCTCTTCTGTGCGCCAACCTACACTACCCTTGGTACTGTTACCGGGGTGCGGGGGGGGGGACGCGCAATAGTGCCGCTTTTGTTACTGCCTCCCTCGAATTAGTGCCGCTCAAGATTGGCAGCACGGGTCGTGCCACGTGTCGCAGACGACGTCGCCACATCCCTCTCCTCTGGCAAGGTTGTTTGGATTTTTGGAGAGTCTGAATATGCAGTGCGATGTGAGCAATGCTTTATCGCACTTGAGGGCTGCGAAACGAGCCTCTTTGGAAGCTAGGCATGAGAGGGAGGGTCGGAAACAACAACATACTTCAATAACGGAGTTTTGGACGGGCAATGGTACACCCAACTCATCACAGTGTTGCGATCGTAGGTGCTTAATGGAAGTTGTCTATCTACTGGATGGAAAAGGGAGCTAAGACGTTAATGAACACCAGCATTAAGGTTGTCATTGTTTACAACTTGCACACTCACCCGTGTGAGGTGCTCAGACGTTTTCACCCAGCGCGGCTCCTGTGAGCAATACCATCAGGGGACTAAGCGCGGACTGAGATTTGTACCGACAGTAGTGCCGTTTTTCTAGTACACGTGTACAGGGTATTCGCACAGGCCGGCACTAATGCGCAGGGTCCACTGTACTACTTCCGTGCGTTACAGTACCACGATGTACACGATGTACACGTTGTACACGGAGGGGGGCTTCTCTTTGCAAAAGCAAAAAAATATTTCGTTATCAGGCCAAATGTTGTGAAACGTATGCCACCCACCATACGTGTCTCACAAAAAGCTTCGGAAGCCAAGGAACTCATTTTTCGCAAAATCGACGAGTTAGCGGAACCACGGACTCGGCGGTCCCCGTCCCCTTCTCCACATTGCCTTATTCCACTTTTCCTCCCCATCCCTTTCACGACGGACACCCCACCCCGGCCCTCATCTTTCAGTCTCATGAAGGTGTCGCGACGGTGGGTGGCGACGAGTGGGAGCCGCTATGTGTGGTACTCATTGATAACGCATTTTTTGAAACGGAGTAAACCCGCAAAACCAGTATTTTCGAGGGAAAATTCAGAATGACACATGACTCATTTTTGCGCGTTTAGCCATTTCTTTAATTTTTTTGCGGAAACTCTCTAATGTACTTACAGTATTTGTAATGTCTCTGTCCACGTTGACACGTGGACATAGACATTACAAATTGCTTGCACAGGAACACTGTAAATCTGTTGCTTGTACAGTAATTTGAACTGTCAGCAAGAACTCTTTCTCCTTACAGTAGCACAAGTCTACGTCCTGAACGACGGCATGATACCATGATGCGAACAAGTGTCGAAGTGTACTGCACTGTGTTGGCCCTCGTGAAAACAACTTGGCGTGCGCAATTCCTGCGCAAGCAAAGTAATTTGCATGGGGCACGGGCGGGACCGTCGTTGACACCTTCTGGGTGCGCGTGCACACGTGTACGAGGAAAAAATTGCGTTCCTGCACCCACGCAAAAGGCGGGGCGTGTGACGTCGAGCGCCGGTCGGGGCGCAAGTGGCGCACGCCGCTCAAGTGCCCAAACAAATGGCCGACACCGCCGCCGCGCAAAACCTCCAGCCAATCCTCGAAATCCCCCCAAAACGCGCCAATCAACTTGCGCCATTTACACCCCCTGCACACAAGTTACCCCCAAAAAGAGGGCGTGTTGGCGTCGTGCCTCCCCCGCCCGCCGCCGGCAACGCCGACGCCGCCTGCCGCCCAGAGATCGCAGGGATCTCCGCCCGCACCAGGTCTCCACGAGGGACACGTGTCCCGCCGCACCGTCCTTGGCCCCACCGCGGGCGTCGCACCACCCAGACGCCCCTCTTTTGGGGGTAACTTCTCTTTACTCTCGCG